CCATCGCCATCCATCGCAGCTCCGGAGAATCCAAGGAATCTTTCGGAATAGAAACATCCAAACGAGCTCCCTTCCACTTGGACTGACCAAGTGGAGAACATCTGAAACATGAGGACTGGACACCGGACCGATGTGAGAACAAACCAGAAACCAAACCATTGTTCTAAGGACGGTCCCTTTCCTCTCCTCCTTCGCCCGAGTGGAGGACGCGGGCACTGGGGCTCGCACCACAGAGGGTCTCAACCCCTCAGCGCTGGCTGTGGCGCTGGGTGATGGACAAAAGCCCGGAAACTCCCAGGTCTGGTCTGGTTTCTTGCACGACTTGTGCCAACACAGTATGCCAACATGTTGGCACAACCACCGCGGTTTCTGGGTGGTCTTTGTGGGCAAAAACGGTGCCAAACCGGTGGTGCACCGATTTCTCGCGCGAAATGAACAAAGGCATCTCGGCCATATCTCAGCCGCAATCTTCAAGCTAAGAGAGTTGCAAAGGTCTGGCTCACGATCCATGGACAGGGACAGACAGCCTCAAACATGCCCCATGCAATTGGACCAGGGTTGATGGCACCGTGCAAAGGTCTGGCACCTTCCTCATGCTTGGTAGACATGGCGCAAGTCTCGCTGCTGTGCCACCGGCTTCGACCAACAAAAGGAACATGGTTCTCTTGCTGTAGCTCTTCAGCTGGGGCGGACCTCGACCACTCACAAGATCCAGCGAGACAAGAAGCCCCCACCAGGTCGTTCCGCCCAGGTGCTCTGCTTGAATGCCTTCAGCTCGTTGCCTCAGTGCTGGGAATCCAAGCCTCCATGCTGACTTCAACAGGTCCACTCATGAAAGAATCCCGTCTGCACATGCCTAAATGTTAGGGCTCAAAGATCTATTGCTGTGATTTTTTTGACACCTTCCGTGGATACTCTGTAGGCTCCGTAGCCCTGAGGCTGCTGCCTTTCACATCCTTGAAGACCTCCAGGGGCGAACACATCACTGACACCACCATGTTTGGACCCCAAGCACTTGTGCCGTGCGCACGCCCCTTTCGGAACTCCAGCCGCGTACTCCTTTTCCGACCCCTCATGAAAAATGGGTCGAGCCCGCTCCACCAAGCTCAGCCTTCACGACCACCTGTCGTCCGTGCTCCAGCTTCCCAGCCACATAGCGGCCGCCGAGAGGGTCTCCGGACCTGGGCTCCGCGGCACGGGCGCGGCACGCGCGCGGCACTCGCGCGGCGGAGCGGCGCCGAGGGGGCGCGGCTCTCCGGACTGACCTGCGAAATGCCGTTGGCGTCCCACGTCCCAATATTATTCCTGCTGACCAGCAACTTCAGGTCGGATCTATGTGGATTGTGTGGCCCACCGGTACCTCCCCATACCTCCCTCCATCTCCATCCCCACCTGCTGGCGTGCAGGAGCAGATCCGTCGCCAGCTGGTGCTCCGAACTCTCGCCGCCGCCGCCCCCCGTGGAGTCCACGGAGGCTGCGGAAGCGCCCATGGCGGTGAGGCGAGCTCCGTCGCCCGCGCCCCATGGGCCCGCCCAGTGGGAAGACGAGTGCTGTTGGGGCACGAGACTCGAGGACGAGTGCTGGTGGGTTTTGCAAGGTGGCCGAGGAAACAAACTCCCAAAGCCACCGGCTTGGAGCGATTTGGAGGTATAGTTATACTTAGATATACTTGGCTTTTGCTTGTTGGAGGGTGGGGGGGGGCCAATGTGAAGCTTGTGCGTCTGGGGTAGTGGGAATCTCTGTGGGATGCAAAGTTATTAAAAACCTAATTTTAGGAGTGATGCAACTGCTCACATCATTCATTTCGGTCTTATGCGAATGCATCGACTTGTAGGTGTCCGGGACAGCCTTCAAGCAAAGGAACGGCTGGCGGCTACAGCTTATAGGTAACAGAACATCACAAGGCGCAAGCCGCAAGCAATCTGTATCAAACCTAGGTGTGAAACAAGTCCCTCACCACTCAGCAGTACACCAGCAACAAGAAACAACGACGATATCAAAAAGAAAAAACCTAGGGAGAGAAACCTACAACTTCGGTCAAGGTCTTCTTGGGTAGCGGTAGTATCCTGATGACCCAGAGTTCGATGCCTGCCAAGGCAGTGCGGAGACTCTCGAACGAAACCAGCCTCAAGTTGAACAAAGAGGCAACAAGCATCCCAAGTACCTGTCTAGAGGGTCCAGTTATACTTTCTGAGGAGGCACATTGTCGAGCAAGGATGTCGCACTTCTGCGCAGCACCATACAACGGACGTCCTTTTTTCCCACGCTCCGCTGGCCCCCCACCATCCCTACCCCCGACCGTACTGCTTTTGCATGCCGGTCGGATTTCAGGGTGTGAAGGGGCAGCAAATGGCCACAGATGGGAATCGCACGCTGGTGTCCAAGTAGTTGATTCAACTGCTCAGCCTGCGAAGGTCCCCCCCATGGCCGCACGCTCAAACAGAGCTGCTACCTACTACCTCATGGAGGTCAGAACAGCAGGACCCATGGACAGCTGAAAATCCATCTGAAGCTACACAAAAGCAAAGCGAACCATCCTCAAGGGCCCTACTTTTTCTGGACTTGTCCATGGGCCGCGACCTTTTTTGGGGCCAAACTTTGGGCCAGCAGCAGCGCTCGGCCGGAGGGTAAGCTTATGCAACACAACACGGGAAGGTCCAACAACATGGAAACTCTCCAAATTGAATGGACTACCCGGACATTTACCTATGCAATTGTGCATGTCTCCATGAATCTGTATTTGTATGTTGTTCCTCCTTTTCCCTCTCTGACAGTCAGTGTCTGGGCTTGATAGCAAGGGCCTCCAACCTAGCAGCGATGGCCTCCAACCTAGGACCTAGGAGGCACATTTGGATCAGCTTCCATTTCCTCACTTCTACGAAGCATTGCTGAGTTGGAAGCCTACCTTCCGGCCAGACTTACGCGACGCAGGGGTGCGGGTCGGGCTGTCACGGAGGCCCCCCAGCGTCGGACCGCTCGCAGGGCTGGCAGGCGTGACCTTGATGAGGTCCAAGCTTCGCAGGTACCGGCGCATCCACTTGTCGAAGGTTCCTCAGGAAACACCGGCGATGGACCGTGCTGGCTAGACACCATGGCTGGACGTGTGGGGAAAGTCCGCCAACAAAACAGCCCGACGAGTCTGCGGATTGAGTTCCAACGCCAAGTGGGCCCTCGTCAACAAGGATCAAAAAGAAACAAGAAAGATCGATAGAACAAAAGGATCAAATCACACAAGCAGTAGCGTGCGCATAGCGGTCGCAATAGTAGTAGTCGTTGTTGTGGGTCCGCGGCCCGTACTCAAAACGAACTTGGTAGCGCAGCAGCGGCAGTAGTTGCAGCAGCTGCAGTAGCAGTAGTCATAGTTGTCGTCGTAGGTTTGTTGGTCTTGTTTTGTCTGCTCCGAACCCCCTCAGCGCAGTTCCCCCGCATGTTGTTCGGGGTGCTTCCAGGGATTGAAATTGGATTCAGACCGTGTTGTCTTGTCTTTCCTTTCTGGTTTGGTTTTTCTTGATCCCTTTTCTTACCTGCTTATTATTTCTTGATCCCTGTATGTTTTTGATGCCTCTAGGTGGCCTCCAACCTACTAGCGATGGCCTCCAACCTAATCATGAGGATTCTCTAGATGTCTCCAGATCATGATCAAATGTGCGGGGGGGTGCCTCCTGGCACGGTCTACCAGGTTCACCCGTGCGCCGTCGAAAAATCAGTCCGCTCAGGTCACATGGTTGTGCCATGCACGGCCACCCCTCCGTCGATCCAAAAGCCCCACCCCGGCCCCAGCCAAGCCACCGACTGCGGCAGACACCGGCTGCTCAAAAACGATCATCTGCAGAATGGCAGAGGTCCGAAGGAAGAAAGAAGGACACCGGCATTTCATGGAGGATAGGGGTGCCCCTGTCACATCGACTGCAAGAGCCCTTCCTTGAAACCAAGGCGCCTGATCAACATTCCCAACAAGCAAGCAAACCAAACACATCCGAACTCATCTTTCAAAGCTCTATGTAGTCGATTGCAATCCCTCCAGGCCACGACATGATACTCTCTTCCTTCGGCCTTGGTCCTAACCTCAAAAGCCCCCACGCAGTCCTGTCCCCACGCCCCACCCACCCCGAACACGCCGCCTCGGTGGCACGCTTCTTCAAGTTGGTGGATCTCACTGGACTGACCACGGGGCTCTTCTCCTTGTCAGGCTCAAAGGGATGGAGTTGTGAAGGGGAAGAGTCTGGCTCCAAATCAAGACGCCATGTTGGGGCCGCTACCCCCCCATCTCCACTATGTCCACCGTCAACGGACGAGAGGGTGGTTGATAGACCCCCCTGGAAGATGTACCCTATTTAGGTGGTGCTGGAGTCTGCTGTCGCTCCACCACCCTCACCCTCCGCCCCTCCTGCCACACTTGCATTCGTTGGATGCCGAACCGGCTCTCGTTCTCGGCCCTTCGATGCTCCATCTCCTGGTGACCCAGCATCACGAGGGGCCGGGGAAGCAGAATTACAGCGCCCCGAGGCCTTTAAATGTCATTTTGAGAAAGGTTTGTCCTGGCTTTGTAGTGAAAAATCCTTAGTAAAACGATGGTCATTAGGTAAGGACCATTATATAAAACAATGGTTGTTTGAATTGGGTATGTGCAAAGAACTCCATCTAAGACCTGAAACCACCCCCAAACACCGGCATCATCTCCCTGGGCCGCTGAACTGAACAACCGGAGCGGTGGCAGGTCCTGGCGTCGTTCCTCCTCTTCCATCCGGTGATGTGCTTCTTCGCCGACCATGCGCAAGCGCCCCACCGGGTCTTCCAACACATCGGCGTTGTCCATCCTGGGCGCAGGTGGTCTGCCATGCACCGAGGGGTGCCCTGCTGTTTGGCCCAAACAGCTTGGTACCATGACTCTTCACCCCAACCCACCACTTCCCAATACGACTACCATCCCAACTCATCAAAAAAAAACACTGTCCAGCCCAGCTGCATAAAGACCATGTCGGCCTGGGTGTCTGCCTTCCTCAGCGCCCGGGGCCGCACCCGGTTGCCACTGCCATCATCGATCTTGAGCACCCTGCGCATCTGGGCAAAGGTTCGGAGTGGATCTGGTGCACCGCGCCGATCCCGACCAGGAGCCTAACATAGAGGGGGTACATATGAGATACACGAGAGGCAGCCATTGGCTTGTTCAATTTGAGGGACCGGAACGTGAGGTTTTACACAGCCCATGCTACCAGTGCTGGGTTTTAGCCTCCCGGGGTCGCTGAACGTCACCCGGCTGGCACGCTACGTGCCTAGTGGACAATCACCCGACTCGCTGGAAGTAATCCGGACGCGAGCACGCGATGTACCACGCTATTGTTTTATCACTGATAGTGTGTTTTATCTACATGTTGCATGGAGAACCAAGTTCGAAAAAAAAAAAAAAAAAAAAACGATCCGGCCAGGGCATGCGTCTTTAAGTTTCGACTAGCATCAGTTGTCCCATCTCTACCAATAGTTCAGGTCCCAGTTCAGGTCTCACTAACCCTCCCTTTTTACGATCGCTGGTCCACTTGCACCAGATCAGGGTCGATCGGCGCACATGTTCGATGCCGAGTTCGCCCCTTCAAAAGGAGACCACAAGGAGGCTGTTGGCAGGGTAAGGATGGTTGAGATTGTCCAAAATCCTGCGACAACCCATCCCGTTTCGAGGCAAACTTGCATGAACCCTCAAGAGAATGCATGTTGCCATCTTCAAGAGTTCCACACATCTACCTGCTGGACAGCTAATTTCCATCAATGTTCAACAAAAAACACTTCAGCTGACCGAGCTACCCAATCTCTATCCCTTTGTTGGGGCGGGCCACGTGTTGCCATGAAATGACCCTTCTAGTGAACTCTAGTCTGGTGGTGAACTGCCCCTTCTCTCCCTGCCCTGCCTGCTACACCGCCTGATCACACCCACCTTTCTTGGCATCATAAATCCATCCCACACCCAAAAAAAAGGAAGACACTTCCGATTCCCCCCATGAAAACACCGGGGAAAACGACCGGCGGAATCCGACCCGGCGGAGCTCACCCGAACGGCCGAGCGCCCCGCCGATGTCTCACTGGAGCGTGTCCAGCCTTCGAGGCGGTCGGCGCGCAAGACCTCCGACGGTGCCGGGCCCCTCTTCGAACGAGCAGCTACATGTAGTGGTCCCCAAATAGGTAGAAATGCTGTCCAATACATGTTGAGTGGAGATCTACGAACTTCTATCTGTTTGATAAGGGGGAGGTATCAGCAGGGGTATCAAGATTTGATCTCGTGTGTATGTATATATATATATATAAATACTTTATATATATATACATATATATGTATCTATCTATTTTATTTGTGCAAGTGACGAGGACCATAGATCCGCAAGCTGTGGCGACTAGCCCACACACACACACAAACACACACACACACACACAAACAAACAAACAAACAAACAAACAAACACAAATAAAAAAGAACGTGGCCCAACCCAACCCGTGCTTTTCAAAAACCGCCTTGGTGCAAGCATCCTCTGAGTTCTTGATGTCCTTCAACTTGTCGTAGAGGGTCTTCTTCCTCCAACCACGCACACACGGCAGTTTCGGCAAAGGAAGCAGGAAGCAGTGCCGTTTCTGACAATGTGGTGCCCCTGTGGCTGTGGGCACAACCGTCCGGAGGATCCTTTCCAAGATAGCTGAGCTCGCCTGTCCAAAATCCCCAAAGCCTTCAGAACACCACCCAAAAGCCACTCCGACCACTCCCACACAGCCTTGACCCCCTCACCAGCCCTCACCCCTCCGACCTTCAGCGCCCGGCGCCGCTTCTCAGCGCCCGTCGCGCGCGCGCGCGCGCGCCTGGAGGGGTTCTGCTTCTGCATCACGAAGTCCGCCACCGAGGGGTTGTAGAAGTCGCCCTGCACCGTGGAGAGGCGCTCCTCCCACTTTCGCACCTCACCTCAAAAACGGACGACGGGGTGCAAACCTCCGACTCCGACCCTCCGGTCTTAAGGCGGTGGGCTCGGCGGTGTTCGGGTCTGTGGTGTCCAGGAAGCTGTTTGACTGCACCAGGATGGTTTACCCACAAGGGCATTTTCCTAACCAACCTAACACAAACAAGGGAACAAAACACCTAGGCACTCAAGTTGTCCTCTTTGTATTCTCCCAAGACTGATCTGTCCAGGTGGCGGTTGGCGTTCACCCAGCGTCCATATGGATCCTGCTTCTTCAGCTGTTGATCGAAGTTCTCCAAATCCATGGCCTCGTCCTCATCCTCGCCTAAACATCTCAAGCGGGTGGAAGACCGGAACCAAATGAACGACGTCGACGTTCTGCCCCACCATGGGTAGGCGCGGAATCCATGGCCGACATGGCTGACGTGGCTGACATGATCATGCCACACTTGTGATGTGCTGAGCCCGGGGAGCCCGGGTCAGTCCCCATAGGTCCCCCATGCTCAACCTAAGAAGAACCAAGCATCCTTCTACACATACACCCTCGACTGTCCAAAGACAAAAAGGACATTCGAACTCAGAACACTTATAGACTAGACATGACTAGACCATTCTTTTGGGCTCTGACTCTCAGGATGCCTGTGTAAGCTTCGTTCAAGTCTTTCTTCGGGCGCGTAACCGGGCGCCTCTGACGGTTATATATTGCAGGTGCCTATGTGGAAGGTCCCCTGGCCGGCTGGGTAGACTAGTCTATGTCCCTCCTTGCCTGGCTCTCGAGAGGTCTCCGACCCGCACCCAGCACACAGAACCGGCCCCCCACTCGGCAGGGCCCCACTTACACCACTGACACCGCACCTACGGTCCCAAATGTCAGGAACCGAGGTCTACTGGGCCCTTGGAGGTTTTTCAGGGCGCCTATAAGGGCCTATAGGGCCTATAGTCTTATTGAATTCGTTGGAGGCGAGGATCTGTTCGATTTCTTCCATCTTTCAGAGCCCTGGTGCCCCCGCCACCACCTTCCCACCACCTTCCCCCCACCTGAGCGAGGCCACGGGCCCTCGGGCGTGCGCGTGGTGCGCGTGCGGGCGCCCACGGTGCGGGGCCGGCCTTTCTCCGCCTTCGCCTGGCGAGCGGTGGAGCTCAAGTGTGCACATGCCACATGCGTGCGCCTTCAGTGCGGGCGTTCCAAGAAAAAGGCGGACAAGCTTCACATCAAGGGGTTGGAGATTGAAGAGCCCCAGTCAGTCAGGAGAATCAACAAGCATGGCCCCATCGAATCTGAGCAAGGTCTTGGACCACTTGCTATCACAATGACCTTGCTCAGGAGTTGTTAATGTGTTTATTGCCTCTTTTGCCTGCTCCTCCAACCCATTTTCTGCCATATCAACAGAAGTGATGGAAGAGATTTAGCAAGCTCTTTCGCTACAGCTATGTCGTGCTTGTCTAAACAAGTATATATATACCTCTCATACCAACAAAAGTTATGGAAGTTGAGGATGGTTCATTCTGCCGAGCAGTCTTCCACTGAATGACTTCCACATCAAGTGCCAATCGATTGCAAGGTCTTCATGAGAAATGAAAATTGAAATCCTACTGTAGGTCCTACGAGGCTGCCATTAGAGTCAGTCAGAACAGCTATGCGATGCAAAGCCATACCGCCAACAAGCTGGATGGATCTTGCATCCACCACTCTCCCCCAGCGCGTCGCGTCTTCTCCGCCTTCGGCGCTCTGCTCGTGGGCACGGAGTGAGGCCGCATCTTTGGTGGCTCCAAAAGGGCTGTGGAGCCAAGGACAACATCAAGGGAGAAAAGAATCTGTCCATGTGGTCACAAGACTCGTCAGTAGCACAACATAACACAACTGGATGTCAAGACGTTTCCGTCCAGAATTGTTGCTGGATCCTGTCAAGCACACCTTTTGGCCAGGCATGAGCACGCTCACTCACGCTCACCACCGATGGCCCTCACGCCACGGTGAATGTGTGGGAGAATCAAAGCTGACACCAAATGGGTGTAGCAGCTACCACCCACCTGGAGCTCTCCGGTTTTCATGGGAGTGGCGACCTCGAAAACGACGCCCTCTGGCCTTTGGAGCCTAGTGCCAGGCCCCAGGCCCGGCGCGCGGCGCTTCACAGGGCGGATTGGATCTGCAGCGCTGCAGGGAAGGTCATCCAGGTGCGTCCCATGGCACTGGGCAAACCCGTGGTCATGCTCAACGCATTCCGCAGGCGAAAACCCGGTGGTGGAGCGGTATAGGAGGCGGCCATGCTCTGCAAGACTGAAAACCTCAGCCGTTGGGAGACCGGCCGTTGCTGTGGGGTTGGGAGACCCGCAAGCAGCAAGTCAGGAGCGAACCCTTCGACATAGCAAGCATTTTGGGAGGTGAGATGTTCTGCCACCCGTCAAAACCAAAGAGACGTTGCTGAGGAAACGCGCCCCCCCTGCCCAAAACGCACCCCGAAGGCGAGATGGTGTGACAGCAAACGCTCGGAGACCGGGGGTGTTCAGTCTCGGCTGGGCAACTTCAAAGTGGAGGCCAATCTCGGGCTTGGAAACCCGAGATGGACAACGGCAACACACCGGTCCTCGAAGAACCCACTCCGCACTGCTCCGCACTGCCCGCCCCACCTTGCCTGTCTTGAGATGTGCAGCCCAGGCCACGCACTCTTAAAGGAGCTGCGACGGAGGTCCAGCTCTAAACGCTCGGGAAGGTTCTGCATGTCCTGCGCGGCTGGCGTTGAGAAGGGCTGATCCCTAAGACATCACCGCCCTGGCATCCACAAACGTTGCAGGCTCACAGCCATCCGCCATGGGAAGTTGGGCATGCTGCTTGCACCGGCCCTTGTGAAGCCAAGTCAGTGTTCAGAATGATTTTGATGGCAAACGAATTTGCAATTGAAAAGAAATCAAACTGGTTCAGCATCAGTTTCCAATCTGGAGGATCTTGTGCCCATTCCAGGCAAATCGCCGCCGCGGACCCTGTCCTTTTCTCGAATCACATAGACCCGAAGCTGTTGCCGATTGGTGGTCGTTCGGTCGTTGACCTACACACGAGAGACGATGGACCGAGCCCGGATGTTTGGAAATCGAAACTTCAACAATGCCATTGCCCAACGTTTTACCAGCCAATTCATGAAATTGAGCGTCTTTCACCCGCCACAAAAAGAAAAATCACTAACAAAGACCCTGGCCAAGTGGCCAAACCGTAGAGGAATTGCACCACGTTCACACTGTTCCCACAAGCGGCGGCCACGTGCCCATAGGTGCAGCAAGCCTGGCAACAAACCCAATGTAAAGGTTTCGTGCCAAATGCCACCAGCCACCCGCGGCAAATCACTTCAGCAACATCCAATCTCGACTGTATACCGGCACCAGGCAGTGCACAAAAACAAAAACACTGCTATAACTACTGCCCTCTACCCCCCTACACGGTGTGCTTCATCCACGGAAACATCCTGTGATCCAACAGAAACATCACTACACCTTTCAACAGGGATTTTTGGCTGCCATCTCTATCCACAAATCTATGTAATGAAGTCTTCGACATGTTTACCACGCAGCGCCTCGTGATTTTTGGTTTCTGCCTGGAATCCACCCTTCCCAATGTTTTCCTGCGGCTGTCCTCCATGAGATGCGCATTGATGTTGGCCATCACCAACCAGCCATCCCCACCCAGTTCTAGCAGTGGCGCACTGGGCGATGCCTTTTCGGCGGCCTCGCCCAGCAAGAAAGGTCGTTTGGTTTGCTGCAATTGGGCCTACGGACCTTAAAAAAACCCTCCGGCGACACCCGCACCGTTCAGCCCTAGAATTACTCAGTTGCTTCCTTTCATTTTCCAGCAAACCTTCAGCCCTAGAAAACAAGGTCCTTGCAGGTGTCACTGCAAAAATTGCATCAGACTTGCTACACCCAAATTTGCAACATGTAAAAACAAGTTGTGTGTCACCCCTACCTGGCTCACCAGTTCCACCATTTTCTCATTGTCGAACATCAAAGACCGCAACGTGCGGGTGAAGAGCGTCTGCACGGAGATCGTGCTGGAGAAATCGGCGCCCTTCTTTAAACCATCAAGGTTCACCTCGGTGCCCGCCACACAATGCAAGAAAGAGGTTGGCGAACGCACGCATACAGTTGTTTACAGTACGTGGCCTTTTTCCCACGAGCACAAATGGGTTCCCAACAGCCACGCGGAAGAAGGAAAAAAACATTAGGGACCGGGAATTACAAAGCTTGCAAAGCTGTGGCAAAAATAGGTGAAACAAAGCACTCCAACACAAATACATAAGAATAGAAACCAGCCGGACGTGCAAACACACTACGCGTCAGACAGCACAAAAGTCGAGAGTACCAAGAGTAATACCAAGAGAGGTTCGAAAGCCCCTTTGGGACTCGGCACAGTCCCATGCATCAGAAGCGAGTGGCAAAAGGATCAGTTCTACTTATGGCGGCCTCTTTGGTGTTACAAAAAATTGCTAGTCCGATATAGCAAAAACAGTGTGAGGTCCAAACAGCAAAGAGCAGGAATCCTTGCAAGTTTCAACAACCCAATCTGCTCGGAGCCTACCTGGTCTCCGAAAAAACGAAGTTTTAACTGTGACACCGTCAAATTCAAGAACAACTTGGACCATCGGATCCGAGCTAGGTCGCCAGGCGCCCTCACAATGTGACCAAATAGGCGGCATTTGGTTTTCTTCCATGTCGTTCAATTGTTCCTGCAGGATGCTAGCGTACATTCGAGCGTTGGTTTGTTCCCGATCAATGAACGTTGGGGGGATCCCCAAATTGTTTCTGAGAGATTCGTACTGAATGGCATTGAGGCGAGATATATCAGCAGTAGTTAGCTGTATGCAGTCAAGACTATAAAAAATAATGTTGCAGACTTGTACTTTCCAATTTGGCACGGGTTGTAGTTTTCGACCAAAATATCTTAAGCCTGTTACACGTTGCTGTGCAGTCGCTCAGTCTATTGGAGGTCCCTGCCAGGTTGTCAAAGGAGTCCGACAACAGGGCGCCCAAGTATGTAGCAGACCCTTCCGTGGAATCTTGGCACCTTGTGCTGGACCCAATGGTCGAAATGAACGGAGGAATTGCAGTTGGTTTGAGGTAAGATCTACGCACTTGCCATAGTTCAGTTTTAACCCAAAATATGCCGAGTGTCGTTCGATAGCATGTAGTAGGAACATCATGAGTGCAATGAGTATTGGCATTAAACTGTCATCAGCATAAACAAAACCTCAGCAAAATGAATGACGTTAATTGGTTGCTGTTGTCTGGGGGTGTTCGGTTCCTGCTTCAAGTCCGCAAACAATGCTCCCATGACCAAACTGAAAAATATGGGGATAATAAGCATTCTTCACGGATCCCTGCACCCTCGCACTTCCAAGAGGAAACTTGCCCATTCATAGACACCTTGAATTTGGGTTCCCGATAGAAGCTTGGGATAAGACCGGCTACGCGGTTTCAATCATATTATCTTGGGACACTTTAGCAAACGCCTTTGCCCAATCAAGAAAAATGAGAGTCCTGGCACTGCGCGATTTTTCAGAAGGGTCTTGAATACGTCTTGCTAAGAAGATTGCCTGAGCGGTGCTTCTCGCTTTCCGAAGGCCACATTGCGTTTGCATGAGCCAGCTATCCAGACCTTTGTCCAGCCGCCCTTTCATTAATGCAACTGTAAGCTTGTAGACAGAAATTAGAAAGGAGACGGGGCGAAAAATCAGACAGCAACGAGGAGCCGCCCATTTTTTCAATGGAAAGTACAACCGCATTGGGATGATGGGGTGGCATGTTCCCAGCTGCTAGCCATTTGTTTGCGGCAGCAAGGACATGTTGACGGTTGGTCTGATCCAGCCACTTGAACCATTCGGAGGGTACGCCGTCAAATCCGGGTGATTTATGGGTTTTTGCGCGGGAAAGAACATAGTCGAGCTTGGCCATGGTGAAAGGAGAGTCAATGGATCCTGCTTGAAGGCCTTGCATCCGGATTCTCCGGCCTTCCCCATTGCTTCGTAACGAGCTATTCAGTTGTTTTTACCGCGCCTAACTCCCATCAACGTCTCGAAATTTCGTGAAGTGCGGTGTGAACTCGGCTCGAAATCGTTTCAACGATATCCGGAATGGTCAAAAAATTTTAGTTGCCTAAGTAAATGCGATTCTCTATCTTAACACCCTTGGGGAGTGATGTTACGATCAAGGGCTTTTGCTGCTGCCCAGCCCTGGTCCACAACCGCTTCCCATTTCTTTTCAAAAAGGGACCCGGTGGCAGCTGAAATTTAACCCATTTCTGCGCAGGGTGACTACATGGGAGTTTTGCTGGTGCGCTGTGGGGGGCAACGGAATTTAGGTCGTCAAAAGCGAGCTGAACCCCAGCGTTTGGTCTGGACCGGTTGGCAACATCCTGAGCAACAAGCGCGTTATAATGGCTGAACTGTGCTAGGCTTGGTGTGTGAAATTCGGGTGTTGACCGGTTGAAGGCATGTACATAAGCTAAAAAGCGTTCAGGATAGCGTTCTTTCACCGGGAGATTCCAAGAATAAAGTCGAATTGCGCGTACTTGTGACAAATAACAACACGTTCAAAATACGATTGAAAAAGGCTGCATTGGTTTTCTGAACACAACTCGACCATGTTGGAGCGATTGGCAAGCTGTCGGTCACTCAAAGAAGTCAGTTCGCGCGTGCTAAATCCGAAAGTATATGGTCCTATAGCAGCCCCCTTGTTGAGGAGCGCTTCAAGTGGTCTAGCATTGAACTCGCCACAGCCAATTTTAGGGAGTAGGCATAAGCTGTGTCCAAGACAGTGTGAAGTTCATGATAGTGCGTTGTTTTGCTCTCAGCATCTTGGTGGCGCGCCTGAGGTGCATGTGGAAACAACATCTAAAACACGTGGGGGTTGGACAACCGCGCTTTACCAGAGTGACTGAGCTGGCACGGTTTTTATCGTCGGGTTTCGACAGAATTGCTATTGATTTTCACAAAATGTCGACATGGTGGCCTTGCATCAAATGAACTAGGCGCACTCGATTTGACAAAAAGGACAATCCTCTGCATTTTAGCAAAGCTATTTTTTAAAAAAACTAGGTATTATTCAAACATTGATCCTTTGCAGCATTGATCCTTTTGCATGTAGGTAGCTGTCCCATATCGCGATGAGGTCCTCGCCGTGACTAATCTTCTGCGCCCAATCAGGTGCAAGATTGTGAAATTGTCTGGTCTAAATAAAATATTTTTGATGCCAAACCACGTACAAATGTTGTTCTTCCATGATTGAACAGATCGTACTGGTTTTGATTCGTCCCAAACACTTCGCCCAGCCCAAACAACATATTATCTTTTTTGTTGGGTCAATCGGCCCATGCTTAATCCCCAACAGCTAGGCGTTTGGACGCGTGTGTGTTGCTGAACAACACGTTGGCTTGTGGCAGGCAAAACAGTGTGTGCAACGTGATGTAGAGTCATCGGAGGTTCGCTGATCTCGGATTGCACACACACCTGGCAAACGAGTTTTGACCGTTTCTGCCAGGCAGAACGCCAATATAGGACCTACGACTTCGCCAGCTAGCTGCTGTGGGTAAAGTATGTTTGGTTTCACTTGAAGCACCGGAGGTACCCTAGCGCTTCCGGTGATCGTACTTGTTTGGCGGACGGTGGCAATGTGAGCAACGTATTTTCCGGCTCTCCTTGCAGTTTTTTCGACTACGATATGGCCAGTGCGCGTGCATCTCACGAAGTGGAGTAAAGTATTTCCTGTCCACTGGAGGGCGGGGCTACATACAGAGTCCTATCTTGACCCTGAGGGACCGCCATGTGAAACTTGAGGCCGAGGGTAGGTGACGAAAGCTAGCAGGGGTGCATCCGGACTGGTGGGACATCAAGCGGAGTGAAGCAAATGCTCATGAGGTAAAACGTTGTGAACATGTAAGACACACAAACAGCAATGACACAGCCAACCTTAGAATTGAAGTCCCCGATAATTAAGGAAGCGTGGCTGGACTTTGCCACACTGTTCGATGCATCCGATGTGTTCACGAACCTGTGAGCTTGTTGAATCTGTTGCACCGTAGCCCAAAACCTCCACGGAGGAGTTGAACCAGTGTGGATGCCCTAAGAGGTGCCCAAGAGGTGTCCCAGAGGCAAAACAAAGCTGCTTGCATGATTTGTTTGGTTTCTTCTATCGATGTCGATGTCATGAACGTGTGAGCTTGTTGAATCTGTTGCACCGTATCCCGGAGGAGTTAAGCCAAAGTGGATGCCATAAGAGATGCCCGAGAGGTGTCCCAGAGGCGTCCGAGGAGGGAGTTGAACCCACGGGGGGGAGGGGGGGGGGGGGGGGGGCCCCCCCTACATATGAAGTTTTCACGTGATTCGGCGATCCCGAGGATTCCAGCCCCTCACTTGCTAAAGCAAGGACAACTCCAGCTAGCTGGTGCTAGCTTTCGTGAAAAACACGCTCCAGAGTCCAGGCGCGTCTTTTAGATGTTTCCAAACTAGTTGTTCCAGCATGGCATTTTTGAAACAAGCTGTGTACTCAGAGCAAGCCGAGACAAGCTTAGAAGACAAGTGGAGGTCAAGTGTATGAAGAAGGGAGGCAAGTGGGGCACAAGTGTAAAACCCCACACAGAAGAACATCTATGAACCAGAAAACAAGCAAAGAGACAAGTAAAGAGACAAGTGGCGACAAGTGTCACACCATCCAGCCAAGTGTATCCAGAGCAGGCAAGGAAATATCAGCCGACGAACGCAAGCCCGGAGACAGTGCCAAAATCATCCGGCCCGGGCATGCAACCCCGCAAAAAAGGAGTCATGTTCAGGGCAATGTCGTTGCAGGCACGCAGGGGGATCAAACGGGGGAGAAACGGAAATATGTGGTTCGTTCTGCGCGATCCGCGCGCGTGGTTCTGGGACTTCGCGTGACCTTTGCGCAAGGTCCTTTCGAAAGAAGAAATTGTCGGAACCCTGCTCCTACTTAAAGCCCCTTGGCCTTCTTGTTTCGCAAGCGAGCAGCACTATTTCCTTTCGACCATGTGAGCAGCATCATAGTAGAGGAAATTGCATTTCATAAGCCAAAGCTTACAATGTGACAACAGGATGAAGTGTCGGTGAGAGAGATGTGTGTGGATCATGTCTAGAACACCAAGGGCCCGCAATCACAAGGAGTAGTTGTTAAAACTATTGAAAGATACTTTTGTGGGGGTGGCCTAGCCACACTAAATATGACGTTTTCTGGCAACCATGTCAGGGAGGAGCCGAACATGTCGCACGAAGTCAAATGCGATTGTTGTCCCGGAATTTGAGAAAAGTACCTCCACCCATGGGGTTAAGTCGTGTTGCTTCGTAAAGCGTCGTCTTTTTGCAGCGTGCCCCTACGGAATCGCATGTTTATAGATGTTCTATATGGACTGGCGGACGGGTATCATGACGCAGGTGTCTCGCAAACAGGACGCCGTTCGGCACCAAAAGGTTACCTCCCAACAAATACACGCCGCGTTGCAAGAAGGAAGGTGCATTGCTCCATGAACCGGCCCTCCCGCACAGCAGCTGCAGCTAATTCAGCTTGGTGCTGCCACTTCCGGCGTTGCCACAAAGCATATAGTAGTCCTGAAAAATGGACCCCGCTTCATATGCATACTGCATGCCGCGGGGAGGAAAAGTAACAAACTGACAGACACTTGCGGCACCGCACACAAGCGCTTACGGCCGATTTTGTTTTGTTCGTGGATATTTTTTTTGAATTGGTTGTGGCCCATGGCCTGCAACCGGCGCCACATCCCGATATCGCCTCAAATAATTCCGAGCAAGCCGGCCCAGAGCCACCACGCGCTGCCAGTTGTCTTCCGACCCACTCGACATGGCAGAAGCAGTGGCTAAAAAACAGGACCCCAACTTCACAAGTACCTTTGATACTATTTCTTTGCTTGGGATGAATCATATACAAAGGGCTGATGCATGTGGGTGGGCATACAGCCCGGCCACGCCATTCAGGTCAGGGTACATTTCAAGAAGCATGAACCGGAAAAGTGCCCTGCTTGTCGGCGCGGAAAGGGTTTGCCCTTGAGGTTTTGTTCCTGCTGCTCTACTTAAACCATTTCTTTGTGTGACACGCCATATCTTTGCTTGTCTCTAGCATGCCTGGCTCATAACCACAACTGCGGCAGAAAAAAACCGTGAAATCAAAAAAAATGCAAAAAAAAAACGCGGCCCCCTAAATTTAGCCGCCCCTCCAATGTCCACGCAGTTCGTGCAACGTCCGGCCTGAAAAATATAATCACGAATAACGATGTGTTCTTGGTCTGCGCGGTGTTCTCGTCAAGAAGTTCCCTCCCCAAAATATAGAAAATCATCTTGCCCCAGCTCAGCCCCCTTTGAGTAGATATCTCCAACCTTGGTTTGCCCTTTCTGGTGGTAAAACACACTCTCGCAATCCTTTTGGTGTCGGCGCCGCCTAGGTCGCTGGCCCAGTCGGCCCTACCCACCGGGCATAGCTATGCCAACCTCACTTACAAGGAGGCAGGCTTGAAATTAACGCAAGCCGCACGAAAACAGCGGCGTCGGGTCGGTGATCTTGAACTGTCATTCATTCCGCTCCACAAACAGTACCGAAATTGAAGCAGTCCAAGCCGAACTTCGACCACTCATCAAAGCAAGAAAGCCCCAGACTGGCAAGCCAACCACCACTTAAGGAATCTAAGGTTGCCAAGGCAACCGAACAAGGAAAATGTCGCAATGGCACGCAGTCTTTGTGAATGTTTGGCGGCTGGCACAGGCATGCTGCTTCCCAAACCGCCAGGGGCAGGAGCAACCGGAGCGACTTGCTGGGATCAAATTGGAAGTGCTGCCAAAGATGTGTAAAAACCAGCGTCAAACATCTCCGATTTCACCATTTAAACGGATTGAGATGATTTGAGAAGCGTACCACCTAGTTGAACCTTTTTCAAAAATGAAGCCATTGGAACAAATCAGCTGAATAAGAATCATTGTTGATCATCAGACACGTGACACCGCAGTGAAAAGAATGTGCCTCCCAGAAAGTCGTGTGGGGCAATGAATCCATGGGGCACCCAGACAGGATGTGGTGTTTTTTCGTTGGATGATTGCCCACACGTCGTGGCCTGCCTGCGCTTCAGACCTGTAAATTCCGATGTGTCCGCGGAGTCTCTGAAAAAGATACTACCTTAAGTAAGTAGATTACAAACGTCCTAAACACAAAACAAAAGCACGTGCAACAGCTCACAAGCAACGCGAAAGCACTCGCACACCATTTACGCGTACAAAAGGCTATGAGGTATACCTGCATACAAGCTATTCCCATGCGAGACACTGAAAGTGTCGAGCTTAAACGCACTCAAAAATGCACAAAACTGTTCAAGAAACATTCACACTACAAAAGCTACAAAGACTTCTGTTCACAAAGCTTCTAAACATTGTACATTCCGTGAGCTATGCTCTCCAAAGCTCTCAAAACGCTTCGAAACACAAAGTTCCTGCAAGGAACGCTTGCTCAAACATTGGAAATGTAAAACCTCACACCTAAGGCTTCACAAAGCACTTAGACATGAACGCTACTGTTCTCAAAACAGTTGCTCTGCATAGAGTTGGTTGTAAACTTTCACACCCCCTTTCGAGGTCATGTGTCAACATCATTCTGCTGCTTGGGACTTGGGACTCTCCTCATGCCTCGTCTTCAATCACTTCTTGCAGAAATGAAAGCGCCACAAAGCACGGCCCTTGGCATAGCTGCAGAACGGTGTCAGGTGCAACACTGTTCCTTTCTCAGTTCGGTAGTATGACTCATGCATATCAAGCCAATCTGCGAACACTGGCGGGACCAGATCGTTCACCTCAACGCTCATATCTCTTGTACTCTTCTTTCCCATTCACTCAAGCTGATTCCTCGAATCAACAATCACTTGCACTGAACGGCAACAAAGCTTCGTCAGAATTCCTCCAACGAACATGCCACTCATAAAAATGAGAATACATAGACATAGAATCTCAAACTCTCGCCCATCCACATAAGCAGTAATTGCAACTGCCTCCATGAACGGCGACGAAACGCAAACGCGCGCCCAAATAGCTGCGGATACAAGCAGTCAGCTAGCACAGCAAGCACAGCGAGCTTGAACCACACGCAAAACAGAATAGAATAGAAATTGTATTCACTCTGAATCTCCAGACCTCCATGGCTTTGCCAATAAGACCTTCTGGTCTCCGATTCCGATCTTCTCTTCAAGAGACATTCGACCGACCTCGAAAACCTCAGATTCATCAAATCTATCTAATTCCTCTGACCTTCGACATTCGAAGACTAAGACAAAAGACACTCTCTCTTTTCGCGACGTCCTTTCGACTTGATCGAAGAAGCTGTGCTGCAAAAAGAGAAAACACCCTTCATGGTGCATGATCCATCTCGGACCCTTCTCAAATCCGGCAGCATCCGCTCATGCACGTCCAGCCTCACTCCTCAGAAACCGAACGAAGTATCGAGCGAACACACGGGTGTATCGTTCTGTCTCTGTCCAATTGACATTGTTGAAAGCTGCGTGCTCGACAACGCACTGACTTTGAACCTTTCCGCTAACCTATTTGCGACCTCCTTCCTATTCGACATAAACCTGAACCTCTTTCCAACCGGTTGTTGACTTTTGGTAAACATCTTCATTGAACATCCGTTCACGATGCCTTCAAACTCTAGACGCTGGTTCGACAACAGCTTTCTCAAGACTTCTGACTTCCAGTAATGATTGTTTGCTGGTAGCTCTAGGATCTTGGATACCTCTCCGTGAACCTCCTCCACCTTCTTCAAAAGACAATCGACTGAATTGGCTAGTTCCTCAAAGATCTCGACGTTTCTCCCTGGACTGCTTTCAAGATTGGACTTCCCCCAGTACATGGTATAGAGAAATGTGTATGTTTGTGAGTCTAAATGTGAGCCACAAGGCCGTTTAAGTGATTTGTTTTATATTTTTTGTTTTTTTGACTTCACTATGTTTTTTGTTTTTGGCCAGTTTTGTTATATGATTTTTTTTATTTTTCATTTAAGTTGTCATTTATGCTTTTGTGTTTCTTAATAAAGTACACTGTTTTTCATCAAATTTCCTTGATGCTTAAATGTCATTGCCTCTTCAGGGTTTCTGTTTCTGTCCTGTTGTTCTTGTGTTGAAAAAATTGGTTTGCAAAGTGTTGGTTTCCAGCCTAGTATATAAATTGAATAACTCACTCTGCAAAAGAAACTGCGCAAACCCTCTTCCAGCAGTCAAAATTTGCCTGCTACAGGCCCTGGACATATGTCAATGAACGCTGACCTAGCGCACTTTGCGTCCTATGTGAATGGTGTGGGTGCGACCGGTAAAGCTTGAGGCAAGGCTCGGGCCGCAAACCAAGTCACTTTTGACTGCGTCGTAAAAAGCCAGACTTCTGCCGCCTAGACGTGGAAATGACCGCTTCCAGTGAAACCAGCAGGCAGGCACTCAACCAACAAACAAGGCAGGAACACGACTGAGCTTCTCTCTGCCGCGCGTGCACACATGCCCCTTCCTCAGCGTCACAGGGCCGGCCACTTGGCGGTCTGCTGCCCGGGCCAGCTCCAGGCGACCTGGCTGGTAAGGACCAGGATGTTGTCTCTCTCCTCACCTTCATTGGGGAGCCAGCGCTCCATGCACCTGTAGGCCGCAATGGTGGGCCCCACCGGCGGGTCCGCGCGGGCTTCTTCCCCATGGTCATGATGTTCCCAATTGACGAAGCGCAGTCCGGTAGCAGTCGCAGGATTGAGGTGGTGCCAATGTGCCATTGGCCGTTCTTTTGCCCACACAGCATTGGGTATTGAATGCTGATGAGTGGCTCACATCTCTTGTACCCGAGCACTGGTAGGGAGCATTGATGAACCCGGTGACTCCTGACCGGGCTGCAGCACTGGTGGCTTGATGAGAGTGAAAGGAGTGCCCTGGTCGTGTGATGGCGCACCCCAGCCGCTAGTGGCCCCTCCGGCACATACTCGGCACGTCTTTGTGGGCCGCCTGGAGGCTTGCTCCTAATGGCGTACTGCTAAGGTGCTCCTCTCTGGTCCGCCATCTGGTGCCCAACAAGGCATGACCAGCAGTCTGGGCAAATAGGATTGGCAGCCTCCAAAAGAGTCAACAACAAGGGGGCCAGGTGTTGTGGTTCCATGTGCCTGCCACGTAAAATGACCTTTTTCGAGGCTCCAATATGTAGAATTTGTCGCAAGAAGCCCTTAGTGCGGAGCACTATTTGGGAAACAACAGAACCAAAACCCATCCGAACCGAAGGCAACTTCGCAAACATGTGGATCCCTTTCAATGTCCTCAAAAGCTAACGAACGTCAATGAGGGGGGGGAATCATTTGGTTTGGTGGGGTTTTGTTTGTTTTGGGTCGCTTGTGTTCTTTTCCCTCATCATATCGTGTTTCCTTCTTCCCTTTCAATGATGACCTGGGCACTCCGCCCACAGGCGTCCACACTCGTGGAAAAAAAGGTCTTCATGTTCCGACCAGTTGGAGGTGCACACTCTCGTTTTTTTTGCCCTCCTTCCCCAAGGGGGAAGGATTGGAATGTAGTTTGTGCATGAGGTGTCTGAGAACACCTGAAGATGTTTAGATTTGCTCTTAGTTGTTTCCAACTGTTTTTAGAACCTTTGTGAAGCGTAGAACTGTTTTGAGTGTGGTTTTGCATGTCCACAAATGTTCTGTCCCGAGAACATTTGTGAACCTTGGAGAACGTTCGTCACTTTGGCTCAAGTGTGCGGCGAAAAGTGTGTGTGTCTTTTGCCTGCTTTTTCTTTCGTTTTCGACTCGGATCGTTGAGACACTTGACTGACTAGGTGTTTTGAGCACGAGA